AATACCTATGAGAAAAAAACTACCTCATAATTCTTCATTATTATGATAATCCAACTTTATTGGCTTCAATAATGGAAAAGGTCAACACACCTACCACAGGCTTCAGATCAAACACTGGTGTTATTTTCTGTGTCAAGAACAAGATTTGGCAAGACATCCACATACATAGCACAGTCTCTACCAGAATTGCAAGGAACTTGCCAGAATTTGGAGTTCCCGTGCAGTGTACTGCCCTGCAGGGCTCAAGGCCACAGTCAACCTCAGAGATGACCTTCTTCCTGGTCTCCAAGCCTTTCCCCAGGTCCAGCCTCTCAAAGCATAGAGACCCAAATGTTAATGCTGGACCATGCAATCCTTGCCCTAAATTGTGCCATGTCGCCCCTCACTGACCCTCTCTGGTGCCTTCCAACAACCTCTCACCCCCACTTCAGCTCTGATCCCAGTCCTTAAGTCAAAGCACCAGTTTCCCACAGAGGTAAGCAGGAACAACTGCCACCAGACACATAATTCCAAGCCAAAAGGGCTTGGGGTGGGTGAAAGTAAGTAAGAGAACTCTGTTCTTAGTTAAGGGGGCAGTTCTCCGAGGTATACAATATCCAAGGAAATCAGACATCTCTGATTTAGTGGACTAGTGTGAGCCTTCTCTGTTCCAGCTGGTCCCTTCTTTTCAAAAAGCCCAATTTAGAAGCAAACAAACTGAGATAAACCTTCCATGCTCCCACCTGTAAGGAAAACCATTAACCTTTTATCAAGAAAAATTATATTAAGAAAAAGAAAGCCTTTATCAATTTCCTTTTATGAAAATATTTCTTTGAGTAGCTTTGTCAACTTTTGGCAAACATTCGTGGCCAAGATAAAAAGCCTTTGTTCAGAAAAATCAATGTGTTTATAAAACTTGACTTTGGTAACATTAAAGTGCTAAAATAACATGGCTCAATGTTTTGTAAAAATCCTTAAACTATAATGCTAAGAAGCTTTGTAATCGATTTTTTAATGAACTACAAGTCACTGATAACCATTAGTAATTCCTCTTTAAGCACACAGTTGAAGTGAATCAAATACTTTATTGACTATCAAGAGCCACATTTTAATTTCTTAGATGCAATCCAATGAATTCAGAAACTTATGTTCACAGTATATTCCATAAACTGTATAAACGCTAACATTTAAGATGCTATATTTCCATATTCTTCCACTTTCTGTCAAAAGCCAAGGTTTTGTTGTTGTTGTTGTTGTTGTTGTTGTTTTTATGGCTGAATAGTACTACTGAGTGAAGCAAGCCAGGCTATGAAGGAGAGACATTGTATGTCCCTACTTAATATATACCGAGTGACCACACTCTATGACTGAAACTGATTGTCTAAAGGATATAGAAACAGAGTAAATGGGTGTAAATATCATATATAGTGTGTGTGAAAGAATAGAGTCTGAGGAAGGACATTTAGAAGAAAAATAGGGAGGCAAAACATTAATGGCACAAAGAAATGTGGTATTATCTGTTGAAGATATTTTACAGTTTTATCAACTGGACTAGGGAGAAATGTTCACATGCTGAAATATTCAATTTGTAAGCTAAATAATGTGATTGAATGTAAAAGAGAAAGTGAAATAAAAAATGTTAAAAAAAAGATGCTATATCTCAACTAATTCAATTATAGACTTATACAATGCTTTAAATAGAATAGCTGGTAAATGCCTACTTTGTTCCTAGCCAACCCACCGCATATATTTATTGCTTCTCTACAAAACACAAACAAAAAAAAATGTACAAATGATTATTCAACAAGTAGCCACTTGGAATTCCTCTGAGTAGTTATAAAAATCAGTCTCAAAAGTTAGTTTTCAATATAGATTCCAGAACAGGTAATGAGGTCCCATCTCCAAAGCTCTTAGAAACCTTCACCTTCCACTGAAATGAGAGAATTAAAACAAAAATGAAGACTCCTATTTAATCCTATTTTTTCCTCCCAGCTTTAAGTATGCACAAACAGAAACCAAATTAAAGAAACTAATTGGAATTAAGCAAAAAAATAAAAAAGTGATATTACTGGAGTTTAAAAAGAAAAGTTAATTCATCGATTCTCATATCCTTATATAGTACATAGCTTTTTAAAAAAATTTTGCCTGAGGGCACATGCACTCACTGGAGAGAGAGGGTCAGAGAGATAACGCAAGAAAGCACCCTCCATGGGGCACGAGCACGCCACACTCTCTCCTCCTCCACTTCTCCTCCTTCTGGGATTTTAGGAATGTGTGAGCATGCACACATACACACACATACACACAACCAGCATATTTCTCAAGCCTCCAGGTCAGGGACTTGAACCCTCTGGTCAGTCATGTGCAATCCAGCTGCCTTAACTATGGGCTGGCCCTACAACATTTATCTTTTAAAAAATTATCTTTTTTTTTAAAGTTTTTGTCCTAGGGCACATGAGCTCACCTGAAAGAGACATAAAGAGTCAAAGTGAGCAATTACCTCCCAGGGAGATGGCCACTATGCCACAGTTCTTCTTCTTCTGGGATTTTGGGCAGGTACACATGCATCCAGCATGATCTTCAAGCCCCTGGGTCCAACACTCGAACCCCAGCTGGCCATGTGGGAGTCCAGTGCTTTAACCACTGCACCACAGGCTGGCCCCTGAGCTTTACCTCTTCAAAAATAATTTAGTGGAAGCATATGCAGGTACTTCAGCAAGTTAATGGAAAATAGAATTAAAATGCATGTTTATCCTGGTGCAAACATTTTTGAAATCCCATGCCTTGCTTTTTCACAATATGCATTTCCCATAAACTTTTTGAGAGCCCCTCATATGAGAATATATGAAGAAATGGAATTATTAATATATTACCAGTATAGGATTCTAAATGCTTTGAAGTACACTCAGAGTTGTGTAACCATCGCCCCAAAAGGAAACTTCAAGCATGTTAACAGTCCCTCACTGTTTCCCCCAACTCCTTCCACCGTCCCCAATCCTAGGAATCACCCATCTATCTCATATCTCTATAGCTTTACCCTTTCTAAATATTGCACATAAGTGGAATCTCATAATATGAGGCTTTTTGTGACTTCTTCCTCTTAGCATTATGTTTTCAAGAGTCATCTATGCCATCACACATATCTCCCTTGCCTTTCCTCTGATGGCCAAATAATATTTCACAGTATACTACATTTTATTCATTCTTCAACTGACAAACATTTACGTTGTTTCTGCCTTTTGGCTATTTGTGGCAACTCTGCTAAGAGTACTAGTGTAAAAGTTTTGGTATGGACCTGTGTGTTCGTTTCTTTGGTTATATGTCCTTGGGAGTAAAGCCACCAGGCCACGTGGTAACCTTACATCGAACCTTTGAAAGAACTGCCAAACTGTTTTCCAAAGCAGCTGCACCCTTTCCATTCCCATCACCAACGTCTGTGGGTTTCAATTTCTCCCATCCTTGGCAACAGTCATTATCTGCCTTTCTGATTACAGCCACCTCAGCTTGTGCAGTAGTAATCATCGTGGCTGATGCTCCGTATCCTAAACCAAGCCCGCTCTTTCTGGAATGGGGATGGAAGCTATTCTTCTAAGTTGCACTTTTAAGTACAAAATATGACAATGGTCATTTTTACACCCCAAAATATAGCCAGCAGGATGTAATACTCCCTTAATAAACGAAGGGTTCACCTCCACCTAATAATGCCATTATTCAACAGCCAGATCTCTCTAAATAAAGAGGTCTGCTAAGCAGTCTGTACAAGTACTAATGAAGTAGCTGGATATGGGGGACCTGCACATGGCATAATGGTTATGTCGCTGGACTCCCACGTAGTCGACCATGGTTTGAGTCCTGGACTCAGCAGTTTAAAATTCACACCAGGCACATGTGTGTGCGTGCCCAAAATGCTAAGAAGAGAATGAGGGAGAAGGGCTTGCAGCATGGCCATCGCCCCGAAGGGTGATTTCTACCTTTCTGTGTCTCTCTGTCTCTTTCTGTCTCCCCAGCAAGCACACGTGCCCTATAGCAAAAATATCTCGAAAAAAAGAAGTAGTTGGATACTTAAGCATTTAACAACAAAGTTTTAGCCAGAACTTTCAAGAAAAAAACATCAGACCAACATTCAGGTTTTCAATAATCTGTTACCTGAGCAGTCACTAACTTCTCTACACCTAAACAAGCAGTTCTGAACAGCTCCTAGAACTCCATCCTCCGAAGTCACTCCCAGGTAGAAAGTTGTCTAAGACTGAACGCTTAATGAAGTTTGAAAATGTAGGCATGCCTATACCAAACAACTAGCTTTGCACAGCAAAAAATTTGCTGTTCGGATGGGCCAGGTTCAATTTCCTGCTCTGCCATTTAGTAACTACACGACCACGGGGTCATTATTCAGCATCTTCATAGTTCAGTTTCCTGATCTGGAGGCAATAATGCCTGCTCAAAGGTTGCAAAGATTCACTAGGCTGGTACAGCTGGGGCATGGGGCACAGCCGCCGACAAAACCAAGACATCTAACTGTTAGCTTCTGCCCATCTTTCGGCTAACTCTGGGCAAAGTTCAAATGAAGACCTCAACATAAGCCATGCACCACTGGGAGCTGAGTGGGCGTCCTTGTGACCTGAGGGACTCCCTCCTTCAGAGCACGTCACCTTCAGGTCTGCAAATAGCTAAGAACTATCTTCTGGTTCCGAAGGAGACCAGGGGGGATTCCAGGGAGAGAGGCCAAGGATGAAAAGAGACCTCATTTCTGTCGGAGACCTTAGACTACAAACTTCCTGAGGGCTCACAGAGAGGCCGGCCACCAGGAGACAGACAAACGACAGACAGGTACAGGCCGTGTTCGGATGAGCCCGTGGAAGCGCAGGTGTGGACACCGGGCCCCGGGCGGAGGGGGAGGGGAGTGGCAGGCGCGGGAGGATGGGGTGGGAGCTCCCTGGGTGCGTGGAAAAGCTACCCCGGGAAGGCAGGTCCTTTCCCAGCAGTGACTCCCCGCGGCTGGCGTCTCGGCCGCCTTGTCCTACCTGATCTGGTTGTCGCGGAATTTGTTGAGATGCGGTTGGTTGAGGTAAATGGTGCGGGCCGTTGCCTCCAGCTGGTCTCCAACAGACGTGGCCCGGGACATCTCATCCTCTGCCTTCTTGTAGCCCAGGGAAGAACGAACGGGTCCTGCAGGGGCGAGGTGCAGGGCAGGAAACAAAACACAAAGAAGTCAGCCACCAGGGGGG